GTGTGTGTGTGTGTGTGTGTGTGTGTGTGTGTGTGTGTGTGTGTGTGTGTGGGTGGGTGGGTGTATGTGTACACGTATACATGTACACGTACACGTATGCACGTGCCGGTGTGAAAAACAGGATAATGTGTAGATATTAGGATACAGTATATACTAATTTTAGATATTTGTGACGATGTCACAGATGACATTTCCGAGGAACTGCTACTAATTGCATTGTTTGGGTGCGCATAAAAATTTAGTACCTTCTCATCACCGACACGTCGCAAGCTTTCGGTATAGGCGAGTGAAGATTGCACTAAAGACATGTTAACTAATTCGAGATATATGTGCACAGTACATCTCCACATACCATTTTTTGGCTGGCTGGTTCCACTGTAACTTTTATGTTGAATATCAATCACCATACCGGTACGCTCGCATCTATAGAAATATGTGCTACACACAACGAGCTATAGTTGTACCAGAGATATCGAAATATATTATTTACACTATGTTGGGTGCATAACGTAGTTATGCAATATGCAATACGCTTCCATTACCATATATATTGTTCTACTTTTCTGACTCATCAGTGAGTCATCGTTGATAAAATGGTGATATAGAATCTGTGGTTTGTTCTTTTGCAAAAAAGATTTAGATTTCCATTGGTACAGACCGACCAGTACACTATACGTATAGAAATAAATACATGACACCCTGGAGTCTCGAGACGGGAGTCTATACTGTGCTCAGTGCTGGAGTCTGGAGTCTCAAGTCTGACTGACTGATGGCTGTCTCAGTCTCTGTGTCTCTCTGATGAGTGATCACTGATCAGACTCCAACGCTAAGCTCAATGCGTTAAAAGTTGTAACTTTTATTATGCCTCGAATAAACATTAAGGTTGTATCTTTCATATCTCGATAGTACACTTCCTTATATGATAGGTGTATTTCAGGTCACTCAGGTGACAGTCGCCACAACTGAAACGCTCAATCCCTTTTGATTGCCTACTATCATTTTCGTGGCCTAAAATTTTCAACGATCGGACAGCTTATTGAGTGTAGTTTCCAAAATAACTTTGTTTAGGGTTAGGGTTTAGGGTTTATTGGAACATATTCCGTACCTCTATAACTTATTGAGCTTAGCTCCAGCGTCTCTGGTGGTCATTGAGGTGACTTCGCGTCTATACTCTATATAAATAGTAGAGGCCCCTGTAGGCTGTAGTACTGAGAGATTAGCGTGTATTTACATTTGTGTATTTTTTAAAAATACATAAGTCGTTTGGTGCGAAGCCTAGGTCTGTGGGTATGTAAATAGGAGCTCTGAGCCTCTGGCTCTACTAGCCTCTGCAGTCTGGAGATAGAAGCTCTGGAGTCCTGCACCTTGAGTCTGGAGTCAGGGCCTAAAAGGCCCTCTCTCTACTACTACTAGAAGTACTACATATTTCTTGTACAGATTACAGAGTACAGAGTACGGACTACAGAGTACAGACCCTATTTAGACTTTAGAGTAGGCCCGTGGTCTATGTCTGGGGCATGGGCCTGGGGCCAGTCCTCGACCTGGGTGATCTGAACCGAAAAACAAAAAACCAAAGCGCAGTTCGTGACCCAAAAAAAAAATTTACAAAGAGGGCAGGAAGTTGAATTTCGAATTTCGTTGCTAGCGCAGGAGGAAATGAAGTTCGGTATCAAACACAAGGGCATCATCAAATTTCCACTGATGTGCACGTGTACGCATTGGGAAGAATATGTTGTGGCTTTGGTGTGTGCAAAACAACCGGCAAACGGTACTCTATGTGTCAGAAAAGCCCCGTGGTGTTATAGTATAGGTCGATTTTTAGAAGTGTTTACATATTGTTAGTATTGTTAAGTGCTTATAATAAGGCTGCATTTTATTTACTTAGAATAAAAGTATAGGGCGTATAATGGGCCTGCCTGCAACAATGGAAGATCCCATCCAAGTGATCGATAAGAAATCGAAGAAGTCCAAGAAGGCGAAGAAGTCCAAAAAGGAGAAGAAAGACAAGACCTCAGAGACTGCATCTAAACCTGTAACGGAAGCCCTTACAGAGACAGTAGAGGAAGTTGAGATCAAGGAAAAGAAGGTCAAAAAGGACAAGAAAGACAAGAAAAAGTCCAAGGAAGACAAGAAGAAGCGCACTCATGATGACACCACGGATGGCACACCAGCCAGCACAGACGCTTCCAGTAGTGGGGGGCGTGTAGTCGAGATGATGACCAAGAAGGCTAAGACCGAGAGCTCGGGAGGTGCTGGACGGGATTTCTACAAACTCGCTTCAACACTCGAGAACGCTACACAAGCTGAGATTAAAGCCTACAGACAAGAGCGTACAATGGCCTTGGAGAACGTTCCCGTAGACATCCGACCTATCCGTACATGGGATGAGGCAAGTGATAGTGTTGACGCTAAGTTGCTGAGCTACTGCCGACAATTCCCTAGTCCCACGCCCATCCAGGCACAGGCTTGGCCTGTATGTTTGAGAGGTCTCGATATGGTTGGGGTGGCTCGGACAGGATCTGGCAAGACGGTCGCCTTTGGCGTACCCAGTATGGTACATATTGCCGCGCAACCCAAATTAGGGCAACGCCCAGCTGATCGCGGGCCGATTGTGCTTGTTGTTGCACCCACGCGCGAGTTAGCGTGCCAAATAAACGAGGTTTATGTAGAGCTTGGTGCCAAGGTAGGTGTCAAGAGTGTATGCATTTACGGAGGAGTTCCCAAATACGAGCAGAAGAACATGCTGAAGGGTGGGGCGCATGTGATAGTCGCTACACCAGGCCGTTTGCTGGGTCTGATGGACGAGGGTGATCTGAGCTTGAAGCGTGTGAGCTATCTCATCCTCGATGAAGCAGATCGTATGTTGGATATGGGCTTCGAGCCGGATATGCGCCGTATAGTCGAGGCTATCCCCACAGCCAACAACCGTCAGACCGTCATGTTCAGTGCCACGTGGCCCAAGGAGATCCGAGAATTGGCTGGAGAGTTTATGAAGAACCCTGCCAAGGTAACTATTGGCAGTGATGATCTGCAGGCTACCACCAGCGTGACTCAAGTCGTGGAGGTTATAGACCGCAACGAGAAGGACAAGAAGCTGACTGCACTGATGAAGAAGCACCACAACGGCAAGAACAGGATTCTGATCTTTGTGCTGTACAAGAAGGAGGCGCCCCGAGTGGAGCGCTTCTTGCAGCAGAAGGGGTACAAGTGTGGGGCGGTGCACGGTGATCTAAACCAGTACCAACGCACAGAAGCCGTCGACAAGTTCAAGGATGCGAAGCAGCCTATCTTGGTAGCCACTGATGTGTGTGCGCGGGGGTTAGATATCCCCGATGTAGAGGTGGTGATCAACTATTCGTTCCCTTTGACCGTGGAAGACTATGTGCACCGTATCGGGCGTACGGGTAGGGGTACCAAGAGTGGGCATGCACACACCTTCTTCACGATCAATGATAAGACCCTTGCCGGACCGCTGTGTGATGTATTAAGGGAGGCGGGTTCGGAGGTGCCGGATGCGTTGACTGCGTTTGGGTATGCGCCAACGAAGAAAAAGGAACACGCCATGTATGGCGCACACTTCAAGAAGGACGATGATATGCCCACCAAGGCCGCTGTCAAGATGCGCTTCGATTAAGTGGGGCTGGGCTGGCTGTGTGCTAGATACGTATGTATGTATTTACATGCACATGCTATCCCTCTATATGTATATATATATACTCGCATATACATACATATATATATGTAGTATCTGGCGAGTCCTGGAATACTCGAGGGAGATTGAGTTTGGAATGCGTTTGAAAAGTGCACTCGCATAGTACGCATGTAGTATCTCAGATCGCACTACTGTACGGTGTGCTGCAGCATGTTTAACCAGCACGATGATGGGTAGACTCAACATAGCGAATGTCTGAGCAGAAAGTACGTTAAATCGAACAGAGATGATATGCCGATTAGGCCTGGCCACTGATGCCAAGATGTTGTCCATAGATGCAACAGTGCATGTTAGATACATATTGTACAGGGGCAGATATGAACATATTTGTATATGTATGGATATCGTAAATTAGTTGTAAAGTGATCTATATATAAATGTAGAGTTCTATAAAGTTGTTCTACAATATGCAAGCCTGTGGTTGGATTCATACAGCATCAAGTCTGTTGATATAGTCGTCATTCGATCAATTACATGATCAAGCGATTACAGATTTGTACTCGAGGAGCATAAGGTGTTCTGTGACAAACGATTAACTCGCGCTAAAATTGTTGTCTTACACACACTAAATTGTCCTTATCGTTGACTATAAAACACCACATTGCATCTCATCTATTTTACCAATATATGTGTTGCATTTCCATGTCCTGAATATTAACGTGCATGTTTTTTATGTATTATGTATATTTTTATCCTGACTTAAATATCCCATTTATTTCATTACGTATAATTATATATACTTTTATCCTGAAAGATAACACATCGCATATATTTAACAAATATATGTATATATGCTGTTATCCTAGATATTAACACCACACATTGCATATATATTATCATGCATATGAGGTATGCTTATATGCACGAATCGTTTGGATTTCACATTGTGTTAAATTGCTCAAGTAGCAATTGATTATATGTTTTTCTATACGAAAGTGTTACTTGCGAGCACCAATACGCGCATCCCATACGCAAACCGTAGCATAAACAACTGCAACACAAACGTACGCACAGTACGCACACAGTGTGGTATATATACGGCCATACACACACACACACACTTCTCATAAGCGTCACTGTATACATATATAAGTTATTGTATTCGTGTGAATGTCCATATGGTCTGTTATATGATCTTTTTAATGTAGGAGCAGCTATAGCTAGCTTTTAATGGTTGTCTCTGATTTGTCAGACATCACATCTGCGTTCTGCTTGAGTCTCTTGTTCAGCGCTTTGTGTCGTTTGCCCTTTGTATGGGACATCCACACATCATCACCTAAGACGCTAATATCGCATGTGTCACAATACCGCTTCTTCTTGTCAGCTATCCGTGTGCTGGCTTTCTCTGCAATATGTGGATATCAGCAAAATTATGAACATAATAGATATAAATATATTATATATATATATATACTATGTACATACATACCTACATATATACATACATACATATAAACATTTATAGATAGATACATCAATACATATATAAATACATACCTACATATGTACAATATATATATATATATATATATAGTAGTACTATACATAATATATAATAAACAACTTATTAGTAGTATACGATACTATACAATACTATATAATAACTACACTACCTACTATAGTTAGTACTAATATAATATATATATATAGTATATACGTA